AGTTTATGTATTAAAAATCACAATAATTATTTATTTTAAAGAATTTACAACTCATTGAATAAAAATCATTTAATTAAGCAACAAAGTGTAAAATAATAAAAATTATAATTAAATACTAAAATAAAGGAGAGTTAATTTTCTAAATTATAAGAATTTATATAAATATAATATTCAACTTACACATAATTATATATTTTGTAAGTAACGTTGTTCGTACTTATGATTTATGTTTATGTAAATTTTCTTATAATTTATTTATTTAGCTTATTAGCTTAATGCACTGAAATAAACAAAAATGAGGGGCAATTTTTTTTATTATTATTAATTCAAAGTTACTCAATGTATGGGATGATAATTGTTAAAATCACATAAATTTCATCCTAATGAACGAAAAAGGAACAAAAAAGGAAGGGCATTATTCTTACATTTGGCCCAGGGCCTAAGAAAGGCTAGGACCGGCTCTGGGGCCGCTCCAAATACTCTGGGTCAGGCCAGCTCGGGTCAGGTCCAAATCGTTTTGTCATCCCTGTTTGTTATTTTCATATACACATCCTATATGAAAGGTCGATTTGATTGTTGGAGGCTTTACGTCGAGATCTTCTCGACACTTAATTTTTTAGGTATCTGAATGAAAATATAACCACGATTCGAAGATCCAAAGTGAAACGGCTACCCAAACCAATATTATTGTTAGATGAAAAAAAAAAAAAAAAACTAAGTAAACCCTTTGGTCAAGAAAAATGTAAAGAAAATAAAATTAACGAAATTAATATGTTTCATAAATAAAAAACTCCATTATTGACAAAGACACGTGGCTTGTTAGAATCTTTTATTTTTATTTTTTTCCGTTGTGTTTACTGCTCACAGCTTCTCCTACTTCGATTAGGAAAAGGATTGTGTATACAAATCTTAAAGGCGGTTATTTAAAGATGACACCAATAAAATATTTTGTTTTATTGACAAATATGACCCACTTTACACGTTGAAATTACAATTTTCTCCTCACAGAAAGTCGGTTAAACACTAAACAGCAAATCCGACAAGGAACACCTCTAGGGCACAATCGTAATTTTGAACTGGCCACAAAATCCTGGCCATCCACATTTTCCCTTTCCCTATAAATATACGAGGAAAAGGTACACACAAATACATAATCAAACCTCATTGTGAAGTACAAATAAAGGGAAAAATAATACAAAAAACCGCGAAAATGGAATGGGGCCTAACTGAACTAGAAATGAGCGCAGTTTTGGAGCTGATCCAACTCAGCGGCTTCCCTGTCCGGTGGGTCGATTTCCCGGCGGAAAAGGACGGATTGCGGGACACGCAATCGGAAGAAGGAAATAGCGCCGGGGGAAGCTTAACTGAGCCCGTAAATAGCGCGTCCGCCGAAGCTTTGCCCCGTAGAGGAAAACGACTCCGGTCGCTAGCCGATATTTACAGAAACACTCGTCCTTTGGACAAGAATCGCGCCAAGAAGAGGGCCAGGATTTTTTGAATAATATTTGTATAGACTTGGCCCCTGATGCTATTTTAGTACCCTTTGTTATTATGTAATAGTAAAGGTTTTAATTTTGTTTGCTTATATAAAGACATTCGATTTCTTAACAGTCCATTTTTTCTTGTGTGTGTGTGTGTGTGGTGATGTGTGCTCTCTTGCTTGCCTAGCGTATTGCAAGCTTATATGGAAGGTTAATTGCATTCTATAGAATGGAGTCCAGTTATCTTTTGTATGAATCTGTTCAAAATAAAAAAAATTGGAGGCCAAACCCGTTGGTCAAATACAAGAAAAACGCATCATGCATAAGTTGGGGCCTAGCGTGCAAACGAGACGAGCTCGACTCGACAACTAAACAAGCTAATATTTGGGCTCGAGGACGTCTAGTTTGGGTCAAGTCCGAGGTATAATGAGGTGGACTATATATAGATAGAATTTATATAAGATCTCTTATTTTCGAGCCTTAATTAACAAGCCAAGTCGAACCCAAATCTGTTAACTACATGGGCCTGTACGTTTAGATAAGTAGAGCCGGATTTATATTTCATTTTTTTTTAAGTGCAAAATATATTAATAAAACAAAAATTTACAAATGGTTCACTAGCTGAAAGAAACATCTGAATGCTGAATACAAAGAGGTCTACAAGTCGGTATGACTGTAGTCTAGAAAACTACACTAAACACACACAAGACTAAAAAACTAGCTAACACAAGAATACAAAGATCCCACTATTGGAGACTGCTAACTCTCAAACGGGGAATAGAAACAAAACACAAATCTAAAAGACCCTCAACACCCTAGATACTAGACTAAAGTCCTCCCACCGACCAGGAACACCCAACACCGTCACAACGTAAGCCATCGCATAATGTGATCCGCCGCGAAGAAGTCACAACGGGTCTAAAAGCTCCCCTAGCGGCTAACTAGACCAGACCAACGGATTCAAAACCTTCCCCAAAAAACCATTGACTTAACTAGGCCAAATTACACCATAGCCCTCTCACGCGCACACCAGAACCACACCGTGGCCACCGGAGAAATTGACCTTCTATTAAGATCTACGATCGAATTCAGATAGAACAATGAAAGCAGAGGAAGAACGAGAGAGAGAAAACCAACATCAGATCTTATTTCTGTAAACTGCGGAAATGCAAAGTGTA